ATCCGCACACAGTTCTTTAGGTTTCTAATTTTCAATTCTTATTCTACCAGATTCCAGGCTTCTTGTATCGGTTCGTCGTTCTTCTAGCTTCCGTTCTCTGTACATCTCCGGTTTTCACTCTCTGCCTTTATCTTGTGTGCAGCTTCGAATCATGCTGTTCTTGTCAGGTCGTGGTCACTCACCGTTTTCTTTGTCGCGAGCCATTCCGTTTGATGCTCAGCAGCACAGTTGAATTCCATACTTACTTTCTATTCTCGTTTCTCTCGCTCATGGCAGCCGTCCCAACCCGGCATTCTTCTAGACTGCTCTGTCTCCGGTTCATGTTGCACCACCAGCAATCCCCCTTTTGCTCCGTCCTCGTCGCTGGTCCCCACTTGTTGTACAGAAAAAACTTGCGATTGGGTTCATAAAGTTCGTTTTTGCGAGCTTCAATGAATCATTGTCAGTGCTTGATCTGGTCTCACTTCTTTTTCCTCTCTTCCCTCGACTACCTGCTCCCTGTCCATCTTCTTCAAATTCCTAGTTGTATGTGTTATTGTGGGTTGCCTAGCCTGGAGTCCATCTTGATGAAATCTTATGCGCGTGGTTGAATAAGTTGATTTTCTGCAACCCAGACCGTTTTTACTCGATCCACTTGTCCGTGTCGCATCACATGATCATAGTTGTTGGGTCCTGTCCAGATTCCAGATCGGGGAAATGCTTATCGTTTTCACCGTCCCAGCTGCACCACCACAGCACGCGTCACCAGGCCCCGTTGGTCGAGTGATCGATCGGTTATTCAACCAAGCAGTCTATTCGTCCGTCCGTGCACATTCTGTACCACCGCATAGTCCTCGTCTTCGATTCGGCAGCTCCGGTTGTGCGTCCGCTCCCGTGCTCGTACGCATGCACAAACGCACGCACGCGCGCCTCACGCCTATCTCGTCGTCCCTAAACGTCCTTATCGTTGTTGTTCTCTCCCTCTGAAACAGTGTCGTTCTTCTCCAATCCGTCGCCTGTTGCCACAGCGACAATCTTCCCAATCTCCTAGTGTTTTCTAATCTGGCTGTATTATACATACATCCGTACCGGAGTCGTGGTCGATGTGTTGCAATCACACAGACACCCACATTCATCAATCCGTGCATACAACACGTGCTGTATCAAACGTAATTTTGATGACGTACCTATTTTCTCCTGTTTGCTCCCCCCACTGCCACTACTAATACTACTCCTATTGTCAAATGCCTTTTCCACCATTGTATCTCTCGTTTTCGCTCGCTCGCTCGCCCACTCACCCGTCTGCCTGCTCTTTTCACCCTCCACCCCCTGTCTCATTTACACGAGCACACTCAGTCTCTCTCTCTCTCTCTTTGCCATGCTTAAAAATATAAGAAAAAATTGTTTCTCATGTCTTCTCGTTCTGTCAATCCGCAATTCGATGCTATCGTGGCTATTAGTCGTTCGTTTCATTCTGTGTTCACATCAGTGGTTATGATTCGGCCTGCATACGGATGATGATGATGATGATGATGTTTTTAGAAGACCGTGCACAAACTCGCGCAAACTGTGGCACTTAGACAATCACAGAGTAATTCGATCGCACCATAGTTTGCATTCTGTTTACACGTACATTTCAGCACATCAGTCATACATCATCAGAATACAGTGGTATACTCTACTCTGATCGTTCACTACCTGTCGTTCCCATAGATGTCACCGATCTCAGTGAAAGAACGAAACGTTGAAACCGTAAGGTTGCGATGCAGTTCGAATCAGTCTGTGGAAGGCTTTGCCTCAAGCTGCCGCCTGAACACTGCAATGTAGTACCACATGAACCAAACAACAGCCTAAATTTATTTCTTAGGCACTCACCGTTGCATCCTCTCTACTTTCCATTTTTAATTGCAACAGTTGTGAGCTTATGATTTCCATCTGTTCTCTCGAGTCACAGGTTTTGTGCACCATGTTTTACGAAGGATAATCGACCATTCATGTGTCATTAAGTCAACGGGCTTGCGCAGTGAAGCGTTCGATAGGTCAACTGAAGACAGGTTATCTGTCTGAGGTTTTGCAGTCAATAGTTGAGACTTTGAAACCTTCACAAACAACTTTAGCGGCAGTTATTTCACATAAACCGTATTTGTCGAAACGATTAAAGTTCCACTCTTTTTTCGAAGCACTTATTTCCCACATGGTATCTTGGTTTGCATCCGTCGGCGGATAACTGAATGGGGTTCCAATAGTTCGCCGTCCTTTTTATTGTTCCATGAACCTGGTATTTCTGAATCCAATCTTTAGACGCATCTTTTACTCAGTATTTAAGCGATCACCACAGATGATCTGCAACAGTCATCCTTTTTGGGATCGATCACCTCACGCTAGATACTCTGTCTAGCTTTCTCATCCCTTGTCTGACAGGTCATAAACTTTGATTTGCTTCGTCTTTTTTGCAAGGGTAGCACCAGCAGTTGTACCAAGCACGCTTTTGCCTTGTGTTTTGTGCAGGTTCATGGATTTCATTTAGCGTGCACGGTCTCGCACAAGCTGGATATCTCTTTTCACGTGTGTTCGAGGTTGCCTGGTTTCATCGGCTTCAGCTTAGAGGCGGTGGTGTGTGTGCTGACTATTTGTCACGAGGTTGTGCTCACCATCGCTTGTTCATGGCTTTCATGAATTTGGTTGATCAGTTTATTTTCACTTGATTGGAACACGTCTAATTGAAGGATATTTTTGTAAACTATTCGTGTCAGATACGCTTATACATCGGTCTTTCTTGAAACTGTTCCGGAACGCTTTTGGCCTATTCTATATTTAGAGCGGTATGGGATTCCGTCTATGCTCTGTTGATCCTCCCTCGTTTTCGGTCACTGAAGGGTCTTTTTGTGCTCCGGATGTTTACTTGTTTTCGCATACATGGTTATTTTAGTACATGACAGCGTCGTTGTCTAGTTTGCGTAATCTTTACATTATCGATCCTACTTGAAGGCTTTTTTCTCTCTAGCTTGTTTTTTTAAACACAACGGTTGAGCTTATCGGTCTCAAGTGCACAGGTGTTCAATGTTGTTTAGTGTGTGTGTGTGGGGGGGGGGGGGAAAAATTCTGT